GTGACAGATCCCATAGATTTCCCCTCATGAGTACCATACAAAGGTCTTCTTATTCTCATCCCTCATGGCATCACATCCACCTCCCTTTCCCTTCACAATGTGACCCATTTTCCCATCCCTCCTCAATCAGATAGGCCACCTTACTCACTAGGTGGCCGGACAGGCTAACATTAGGGTGATGTTAGGAAAGGAGGCTGCCATATTGAAATACAACCCTCCCCTCTAACTCTCCTAACCAGTGTCTTGTCACGCAGGTTTGTCTAAAAGGACAGGGTGACCCCAACACATAAATGACATCACACGTCACCTAATGTGTGTAAAAGAACAAGTAGAAAACCCCTTAGGTTTGTGTTAGTGTCTGCACTCCTCTCATGCAGCCACTGAGTCTTAAAATAAACAGGATATCTCCAACAACTGCCCACCGACATGCCACCAATGTGAGATAATCAGAATCAATCTGGGCAGATTTTGGTTCAGGCACCTCTTGAATAGCCAGCTCTGGTGTGATAATGGTTCACTGTGGGGTGTTGTAGGTCGCTTAGGTCGTTAGGAAGGGACTGTTGATAATTACCCCATCTTAAGGACAAAATTGCTGGTGTATAAACAATGATAACAGAGGCACATTGGGAGTGATTATTGGAGGGAGGATATTTCTTCCCCGTGGTGTAAAACATGACAGTGAATCGAGGTCCCTGCCCTAAACCATAACAGACCCACCTTGGAGATTAATTAAACTGGATTATCCATGTCAACAACGTACACAGGAAAATTCTCAGGTATCGGGATATGAGGCACTGACAGTAGAAGGGTGTGTGTTAGTCCATGTCTACTAATCCAGCTGATATAACAAATGCCACATGGAGCAGGCAACCTCCGGCTCCATACCATGGACGTTACACTACACAGCCTGACTGCTATAGACGAATTATGGGGCAATTCTACCTCTGTATCGGCCGACCGTTTCCTCGTACAGCGCGGTGACGACCTCCGGGTTAACGTCTGAGTCACAAACTGCATAGTAATCCCAATCTTCTTCCATAGCTTTGTCCATATTCCTGGTTACAAGTCCTTAATGTGGAGACAACCCAAACGTCCGACTCTGAGGTGGAGATTTGTAGTGTACTGAATGCTGGTGCATCCAGCAATGATTGGACCTACCAAATTGTCCAAGCCGGGGGGGTTACAGGGTTCACTGTTCAAAATTAAGTCCTTCCTAAAGAACCCAAGGAGAGGACAGATGTCATGAACACTTCTCACTTTCTCCCAAGACTGTCCCCAAGATTGAAGATCCCTACAGAAAACAAGCTTTTATTTGTACAGTTCCGAATGGTTGGATTCCCCTGCCCTCTTTCTAAAATACAAAAGGGCTAGGACTGGACCAACTACAGAAGGGGGACCAAGGTTATGTAAATATTCCTCCCACGAGTCCCATGCCAAAGTGGCACATTTTTGACACGTAACCTGGTTGTCATAATAACAGTCAGTGGTCGAAATACTTTTTTTCAGTGCTCTGCAATATTGCAGAAGAGTAAAAATTTTGTTCTGCAATTTGAAAATACTTTCTGCAAATACACAAGCCTCCATACTACAACCTTCTCAAACCATTAATGTCTTTTCTACATCATATATAGCTTTGTAAATCTGTAGCATTACTGGAATTCTTTTAAGTTTAATCTATCACTCTTTTTAATTTCAGACTTTATAGAAAATTTCCACAGAAAATTTATCATTTACTGGTATCTTCACGGGTCTTTCACCGCTGTCTCCCACTACAAGCTACTACAACTAAAATCATACATGTACCTTACCTGTAAATGTACTACTAGTAGTAATCACACCCACATATCATCCTTCCACACAACATACTAATAAAAGACACACAAAAAAACAGTACTTAACTCTTAAGCAACTCGATATGATTTTGGTGCTACCTGAAACGGTCAGACTAACTACCTTTCGTCAGTGACACTAAGAGAATTGCAGGTTTATAAGGACGAACTATTGAGTCATATGCAAATTAGTGAAGACAAATTTTTGGAAGTCCAAAGGGCTAAACAAAAGATAGACAAGTCAAGACAAGGACGATGCAAATTAGTGAAGAAGCTCCTGTTGCTTCAAAACAGAAGCTTAAGTGTTGTCTGTCCTTGGGGCCAGAGAGTTATAGTTTGCTTGAATCTGGAGCCTATTTTTCCTTCTGCAAAATTGCAGATTGTATAAATTTTTCTTCTGCAATCTTGAAAATCTATCTGCAGATTGCAGACTGCAGACAGGTATTTCGAACACTGAACAGTGCATGACGAAGAACTGAATGTCTTGGAGATAAGGGTATGTCAGACCAGTTAGGACAATATGAGCTCTCAATCTTGATGGTTTGTCCACCCCTTCAAAACATAAAGTCTAGCAGTCCACCCTAATTTGGCAACATTACCGCAGCATACATTACAATGAGCAGCCTGGGTCTTTGTAAAGGTCTGACATTCTCAGGTTTCAAAGGAGATAAAATACCTCTGACCCCGCTGGTGTGAGGCCATAGTAAACAGTCTCTCCAAGAAGGAACATGTGCGTTTGTGGTTGGGTGACTACCATGTTCTAATCTCCTGTAATTGTATTGAGATTAGATCTTTGAGTAGGGAGGTGGGTGGGCAATTCTTTTCCTTGGGCATAGACTACGCCCAAAGACATACATTTGCATGAATCAATAAAAATGGTGATTACATTTAACAAATAGAGTGCATTGTTGTTGAGTCTTATTTCTTCAGCAATGGGCAGAACAAGATAGGATATGGCGGGGGTGGGAATTACAACATTTCTGCATTACTTTTACATATAACATTTTATATATATATATATATATATCATGATACCAGTAACTTATGTAAAATTCTCAACAGGGAAAGAAAAACTTTGATGTAAAGACAAAAAAAATTATTGGCATGGATGAAGAAAAACAAAAAGGACTGGAAAATTTCAATATTACAAGAGTAATACCACCTCCATGGTAATACCACCTCCATAGTAAATTACTAATACCACCTCCTTGGTAAATAGTAAAATACCATATACTATATGGTATATAAGGACTGGCAATTTTCAACATTACAGGAATAATATCATATTATGGTACATTTTTGTATTACTCTTGTAATATTGAAAATTCCATATACCATATAAAATATATGGTATCACTCTTGTCATGTTGAAAATTTCCAGTCCTTTTTGGTTTTTCTTTATCCATGCCAATATAGATATGCTTTCATGGGGAAGGGGGGGGGGAGATTTCTTTCAAACGTGTTCCTGTTCCCATGTCAAATAACGATCTTGCTCTTACAGGCAAAACTTGACAGTCAACAATCAATGTTGACATTCGTATTCAATCTTTAACATTTATTACATACCAAAACACATGTTACACATACCGCAGCCTGACATACCGGTACATACATGTATGGACTTGATAAGGAAGAAACATTAAACTATGTACCTACTCACTGTATGACTGGTGCTTTCGTATTCCTTTTTCAATCAATTCAATCACGATTATAGAAAATTTTACAAAACCAAAATGTCAAATATCTTCAAACTGACTTCACGTGATTGCTTAAATATTGAAATCCTTGAAATCCAAAAGGGAATTTATAAATATCTAACTAAGTGATTTTTCCCACTAGCCCATAATACTCTAATAATAAACTTTTTGGGCATCCATTCAACTTTATTTATCATAGTTGAAATCAGCGACTTTAAGTACCTGAAACCCGTTTTGTGCAATGACAAACAACCTGTTACGATTTTTACAAATTGATGATAGATTACTTGTAACTTTCATAATTTCCCATGCAACTTTGTTGCAACTTAACTTTTATAAAAAAAAAATTGAAATAATTGCACCAATGGTTTTATGTGCCATCGCCCCATGAAATGCTGTAACGTCACATGTACTTTGGTGATTACCACTAGTTATTGTCTGCACTAACATATATCATAGATATGCAATACTGAAATACATGTTTTCATGTATGTAATAACTCTACTGAAAATAAAAAACAAAAACAAGGAAGTGAGAAATACAGTAACTCCCCTGCATAACCAGTGTTTGGCTGTGATTTTCACAGAAAGAACACAATAGGAATTAACATACAATTGTAATGCAGATCAGTCTACCTGGAGGGGGGGCTACTTTTATTTACATGTCTGAGCTTAGCTACAAACAAAAATCACAAACGGAAATTTACGATGTTCCTTCTCTTCCCAATGTGGTTTAATGTGGGTCAGGGCGGGGGATTGGGCCAAGAAGAAAACTGTGACAAATCTGTGAAAGCTTGGATCAGGCTTTACAGAAGAGGCCAGACGGTGCGTGAAACTGAATAAATAGCCTGGAACCAACAAAATCCCTCAGAGACACCAAACAAGAGGGTCCGGTGTGGGTTGAGATGAGGTCTATTCCTGACACCTGTCATAGCTGCAATATTCCCGCAACACGCCGTGATATACAAGTTTTTTTACACTGTAAGCTGGGGAGGGGGGCGCTGGCTTTATACCGACAGTATGCAGTAGCCACTGACATGCCAAACCAACCAAAACAACACCATGTTGGATTACCCAGGGCGGGATCGGAGCACAAAAATAAACAAAATGGCCAAATTTGTAGCCAGGATACGTGTTAGACCGTAAACATGTCGCAGGCCCGCCTGGCTTTAAACTACCGGCGGGAAACATGTGCTAGACACAATTTACATGGTCAGGTGTAGGGGGGAGGGGAGGGGGGTGATCGTCATGGCTTTGGCATGTTCTTTGTCTCTTGTTTGCCTCCGCCCAGACAAAACTTCCTCTTCTCTGCATATTTGGTAGCTTTTACGGCAGTTAAATGTGGTGTGAAATAGCGGTACTTGGCGCCCAAAGGTCTTGACCCTGAGTTAAGTTTGCTGCTCCCGGTGAACAAACAATGCGCCTTTCATCTTGAGGTGTAAAAATAGAAGAAAGAGAGAAGTGTTTTGTCTCACCTGCTATCCAGATGACGGCTCTATCGGCGGGGTCCAACACCTGCACAGAGGAACCCTCCCAGCGGCGAGAAGGGGAGCCGGGCGGGTCGCCTGCCGTCCGTCCCCGCTCCGCCATGCCTCCAGCCGCCGTACGGTGCCACGGGAACGACCCGCTGCCGTCGTCGCTAGACACAGACGAGAAGGACATCAAGTCAAACTCAAACAGTAAAAACTTCCAAATTCAAAACGTGTTTCTGTCATACAGATCTGCAGGTAAATCCGCCAGGGACGGTTTGACACATTTTCTAGATGTTGATGAAACAGACTAACAATTGGTGACAGTCGTGCAACCTTGGGTCACGCGAGGAAAATGGCAACACACGATCGCGGAGAAATCCTCGAAGAAAGCAGTTCCCGTCGTCCTTCCTCGAGGAAGCAGACGAGGATCACTTTTGATCTGCCTCAGGGTTGGACAAGTCCCATTGCCCACTTGCCCAGGGCAAGTAAAAGTACTGTTCGGGCAAGTGAATGTTCCCCTGTACTTGCCCGAGTGGGCAAGTAAATTTTTTGGATGCAAAGTATAGCCGCTATGGTGTTTGGAGCAAAATTACTCATCATTTTGCCAAATTGGTATTATATTAATGTCCTTTTGTCAGAAAATCCATTGCAAGTCTCAAACCACATTATTTTGATAAATTAAGTATGCAGCATTATAAACTCTAAAATAAGATGCTGGTAGTAAAAATGCATAAAAATGTCATGTATAGTTTGGGCAAGTGAAAAGTTGATTCGGGCAAGTGAAAATGACTCTGTACTTGCCCAATAGGGCAAGAGGATTTTTGAAAACTTGTCCAACCCTGTGCCTATAATTTAAAACCTACAACACCGGGCTGTGAGATTCCCGGGATATCACACACGTGCCAGGCCCCGAACCGCATGCACCGCACGATGGTCGGCTCGCCTCGGGCCTTACAGCTGCCTCCGCCCGAGGGGAATCTCACCTCCACCGGGACCGTTATCTCCAGGTAAATCCGAGTATCTGATCCCTGCAGTAATCCAGGTTTATGTCCCAGATTCAGGTGCAGCCGAAGCGATATGTAGCGCGTGCTCGGCTTGTAGAAACCCGTCAGTCTGACGCGCGGTCAGCAGAAATTCAAAATATGGCCGACGGACTCCCCGCTCTTCCCACAACTCCGCACACCCCCTCGTACAGATCAATCATCGATTCATTGATGCACTGAGATTTTATCGGATCGATAACTTAACTGCTTCGTTAGCACGTTTACAAACATGAAAATAAACTTATTTCGCACAGTAACAATCTCCTCTTTTGTATGATTCGATCGATGACCAATTACCAATGACGTATCGGACCAATAACCTCATCGCAAACCAGATGACGAATTGGGCGAGTACAAAGTTTGTGCAAAAAACCGCATCACCATATTTTCTGCCTGACTTCTGGCTCTTGCTGATACTACGCCAACTCCCACGTAGCAAACAAAGCATACAAGATAGATGGTTGACGTAAAACGTGTCGCCATGCTCCCTTTCATGCTACCTTTCTAATTCATGAATTTGATGAAATGCACAGAAAAGCAAAACAGCCTTTATTACTGAAAGAATGCAAATGGCACAGTGGTAAATTGTAACCTGTATGAATAGGACAAATGAAAACAATGTCTAGTACGTTAATCTTTGTAGTATGCAATATTGATAAATGCATAGCGTATCTGTCCGTCTATGAAAACAAAGCATTCACAATACACCAGTATAGCTCATAAACCCGACTCTGTTTGCCTTATCCCCCGGATACAGTTGGCATTGACCATGTATGGTGGATTAAACTGGATCAGCCCACAGTCTGGTGATGAAATAGTGTTATGTAGAGCGGCACAAATTGGGGTGCAGGGGGGTCACATAATTCTACACTGACGCACCGGACCGAAGTCCACACATACAAAGCCATGGTTTAAAGATTCACTAAGAAACATAATACTCACATTGAAATGTGATGTGTACAGAACAGGGCACGGAGAATGATGCTTACACTCTTTCGTTAATTGAGCTAAAACTCCCGTCAAATTGTTTTAAGCGCAAATTTGAGAAAGTATAATATAGAAAAGGTTGCAATGAATTATGTTTTAAATATCAATCCTTTATACGTATTTGATTGAAAACATCTCGTACCGTGAAGAATGCGCCCTGAACTTGGCCGAGTCGGAGTGGAAATGTTTACACAATAACAGGGAACGGGTTTTCTGCGCGTGAAGAATTAGCGCGTGAAAAACTTGCGCGTGAAAAATTTGCGCGTGAAAAATAAAAGTCTTAGAAATATGTTAGAAAATATGCAGTACCAAATTCTTAGGCAGGAAAATGTTGTCCTGAAAAAATTTCTTACGTTCTACCGTGCTAGGTATGTTTATGATGAAGTCGGCAGTATATGTATATGGGTTGCTAAACAAATATGGATAACTAGCTAGGATAATGCTATGTCAATGAGTAGTCCCCATGTAACGCTATGGGCAGCTAAGGTTAGTCCTTAGCTGGCCTTACCGTGAATACACTAGTATGCAGCTGTATTGACTCGACAAAACGCACTGAAAGTTTTGTAGGATCACCCGCTGTTCTATAGAAAGTCAATAATCGGAGCCAAACATAGAAAAGGGACATTAAGGGGAGTTTCTGGGTAAGAAGATGTCGGACCGTGACTTTTTCTCAATAAGATCAGCAGTTTGAGGTGATCTTTATGACTTTTTCAGTCAGTTCGATACGAATTCGAGTGATATTGTTCTCTGTCTTAATCATTTTTGTCAAATTTCTTTTGCAAAGAATTTGGCGTACGCGTCACTCGAGTCCATATTTTCAACATACATCGAGCCCTCCTCGGGTAGAGTTACATGTCAACACACATCATAGTAGTAGATCACCAGAATAATCATTCCCAAATCAATGAGACCAGAGATCCTACAGAAGATCCACGAAGGTCACCTGGGGATGGAGAAGTCCAAGCTACGTGCTAAAACAGCCGTGTATTGGGTTGGCTTGTATAAGGAGATCGAAAGGATGACACAGTCATGCCGAACATGTCAGAAGTATCAAAACTCACAACAAAAAGAAGAAATGACTCCAACTACAACGCCCAGCCGACCTTGGAAGAAACTAGGAGCAGACCTGTTCCACCTCAACCAGGAGTGGTTCCTATTGGTGGTAGACTATTACTCCAAGTTCCAGATCGTAAAGAATCTGAGGAGCCTGAAAGCTTCTGCAGTAACGCAAGCTGTCAAAGGAATCTTCGCTGAGCAAGGAATTCCAGACGAAGTAGTCTGTGATAATGGAACACAGTTCACCTCCGAGGAGTTTAAGTGTGTGTCACAAGAGTATGGGTTCAAGATAACCACATCATCTCCACACTATCCCAGGGGGCATGGATTCATTGAGAGACAAGTGCAGAGAGTGAAGAAGACCCTCACCAAGTGTCTAGAAACAGGAGATCCAAACTTGGCACTCCTAACACTGCGCACGACTCCATTAAGAGCAGACATGAAATCTCCGGCAGAACTACTAAACGGAAGGAGATACAAGACAAACCTGCCAACAAAGATCCAACCTCCTATTGACCAAGAAGAAACAAGAGCGAAGTTAACAGAAGCTCAGCAGAGTGGACAGAAGCCCTACGACAAACATGCACACAACCTACCAGAGCTACACACAGGCCAAAGTGTACATGTACAAGATCCAACAAACAAAAGATCCTCAGCAGAGCAGAGACTCCCAGATCATACAACATAGAGACGGAGACTGGAAGTCAGCTGAGAAGAAACAGAATCCACATCAGGCCGACACCTGAAATCCCAATGGCAACAAAGGCAGATACGACAACACCTGCAACAACAACAAGACCGCCGGTAGCAGACAACAACACAACCGATGAACAACCAGAGGCCATCGTGTCAACACCTGCTACGTCATCCAACACTACAACGCCAAAAGCAACCAGATCGACACGAACCAGAAGCAACATACAACCACCGATCCGGTATCGCTGAAACGAACTGAACAAAAGACTGAATCGATAGACAGTCAGGAAACAGATACCGAGAAATTGGGCAGAATAACCCCAAGTATCTGTTTGGTATACCACCTTCGCTCTGGTAGTACCATTAGTTTAGAAAGTGTTTCATTTTATATGTAGTGTATAACAAGACAGAAAACTGTTGTTAAATCAGGCATACTAATTGTTGCCAAGACAATGTAAAATGTGCCAAAGCTAAAACTAGTTTTAGAATAGAAACACATGTATTCTAAAACTAACCAAAGAGTTTGCATGAGAACTTATATTTTCTTAACATAGAAAATAGAAATAGAAAGCAGAAGAAAAGGAGCCGGACAAGAACTCTTGAACTCTAAATAGCTCACATATATGAACTGAGTCTGATATCAAGACTAGTCAATACAATAAGATATCTTTTTAAAAAGAGAGGGATGTTACACATCCAGATACTAAGATGGCATGTTCTGATTAGTGCGGGGAGTGCTTGTTACATATGAGCTTGATAAGTATGAATCTACTGAGATCCCGAACGCCTTCTCTGCTGCAGATCTCCCCCCCTTTTCTTTTGGAAATTCTAAACGGAGCTTGTTCACTACCTTTGAACGCATGGATCTCGCTGAAAAGAAAAACATTGGAAATATCCCATTATAAGCACATGGTTGAAACAAAATACTTGAAAGTTGTGCTGTTTTGATATATAAACTATGAAGCTAAGTAAAAGTGTACAATTGAATAAACCATTTAAGCAAATAAAAATCAAAGCCTTCTTCTTGTAGTAGTATAACGCCAATTGTGATCTGAAATTGCATATAACATGGAATGGGAACATGGTATATACAAATGTATTGTACTCCAGACAACTTTTTTCATAACAAGAAAGCACAAAATCATTCCATTAAACAGAACTATTAATGAAAGAGATAAGATGGATTTTTATCAAGTGCCATATGATTTGAACATTACTAATCAAAGCAGTTACATTTGTTCCATAGAAATAGGAAGACTTACATGTAACATGGGTAAGAAAAATACTAGTTATTGACAGCAGTTTTTACATATATGCTTGTACATATAGGCTACATCACTACATCATCATGAAAACTAACCTGATCTGATAAAAGATGTGTCAGCTTCTGTTGACACATACTCCGCAGCTTTCATCCAGAAATCCATGTCCTGGATCTGCGGCCAGTCGTTATTGGACAGGTCAGGGTCCCAGAGCTCTGTCTGCATTGAAACAAACTCGACAAGAGCTCTGGTCTCCTTCTCTGACCAGGCCCCACATCGGTGCTTGATGTCCTTCTCCTTGGGAGACAACAGCCTGTGCGCTGCACTTCTAGAAGCCCTTGGTGATAGGACGACAATCGACTTCTTAACCAGGCGACGAGCAGCCTGTTAAAAAAAAGTTGTTTAGCATCTCATCTAAACTCAAACCCCAAATTGAGCCGAAATGAAACATTCAAACATTACCGCATAATGAATATACATGTAAGACAAGTGTCATGTACAAAATATTGGAAATAAGCAAACTATTGTCTGTTACCATTAATGGATAAAAAAAATAAAAAAAGAGAGCAACTTACTGCTTGAGAAGGGCTCTTTCCCGCGTGGCTCCTTCCAGGGGACGTAAAGGCCAAACCCTTTCTGGCTGTCACAGATGGAGTCCGGCTAGGACTTGTGTCAGTAAGTCGCCTACGTTTTTTCACAGGTGTGTTGTCCATCTAAAGTATAATTCAGTAGATAGCTATAGTCAGTGAATAGTACTAAATAATACACACGTTTATATGTCATACATGTACCAAGTAAGTGAGTGAGTACCAACATAGGAATGCATCAGAGTCATGTTCTATCAATATAACATTATTATACTCATTACACACAAAAAACAATTTTTTCCTCACAGATTTGTCCCTTCAGGGCCTATGTAAATGTTTTACCTATTGTAGGAACCCTTTTTTTGGACGTGTGACATTGGCACAACTGTTACCTAAGTGTGTGGAATACTCAGCAGCACGTACTTACTACTGTTTTGGGGGTCTGCCTATTTACCGGAATACACCGGAAAACACAGTTAAACACCGGAAAACACCGGAAAACACATATAGGAGGCTAAAATCTACCGGAATACACCCTGATATGATGAGATAACATACCGAATTGCTGTATTTTGACATGAAGTAACGTGTATATCGCCGCGGGAACAAGAAATCGTTATGAATTGGCGATCGGCGATCGCGGAGGCGAGCCGACCAGTCGCCATGTTTGTTTACATTGCCGACTACGAAATGTTCGTTTAACGCGATCGCCGTACAGAAGTGAAATTTACCGAAATGAAGAGGTCTTTGATGCAGGTACCGCAAGTTGCTACATTCTGGCATGAAATAAGTCGTATATGACTTTGTTATATGACGTTGGGAACAAGAAATCACTATTAATCGGCGGAGTCGACCCGGCCAGACGCCATGTTTGTTTACTTAGCAGCCGGCTATAACGCTAGTGAACCTTTATCCGTCACTTTTTCTCAGTGACAATCATGTGACGCCAATTTCTAAAAATGATGAACCGCTTGTCCTATTATATTATAGATCTTTCGTCCTCGTGGTCATGGGTGTTTGGTCCTCGTTACGTTGGATCTTTCGTCCTCGTTTAGATGCTTGTTTAGCAGCAGAGATTACTACATGTATTAGTACAACAATGTTACTACATAGCCACACGTGTTGCGGCCTCGATTTGTCGCAGACGCTGCCGGATCCACGCTGCGCTGCCGATATGGGCAAGCCGCCGGCTCCTTCGATACCTTCCCGCCCTAGCCAACTCTCAGCTCAGCCAAACTGTTTTTTTTTACCCCAGTTCATCATTTTAAATTAAGCAGAACATCTGGACAATTTTTCTAGTGATATTCGGCAGGAATTATTCATGTTAGAACAAGGACCTACTGTCTACTCGCTTCCTAAAGTTTGGCTTGCGACGCACACGCAACGCCGGGCGTGTTTGTTGTCGAATTTCCAGTAGCAAATATCATCAATTCTTTCACAATCAAGAAGACTACTTCAGCAATCAGCTATATAATGAAAGCTATATAGTGAAAGACTTCATATGTCGTGTCAACAGGCGATTGGAGTAGAAAAACGATTGGTTTGTGCGGAGACATCAGTCCCTTTATGCCTGGTCTGAATGCTCTAGCTCCGCACTGTATACAAACAATCTTCTTTATATTCGGCAATTTTCGAGATTCTTCGGAAACCAATCACAGAGGCTCGGTTATAGTCGGTGCAGATCGTGTTTGTAACGAAGATGGACGAAACTGATTGGAGCCGCCCGACTAGACTACTCGGCGCCAGCGGCGCCCGGCGGCAACTTCTTCAAAGGGAAACGCCTGTCAATCAAGTACATGTACGTGAAGCCACGCTGTGGGAAAAGTACGCGCCCCCCAAAATGTATCAATAGATTCAGTTTTATTTCTCAAACAAACAGTCACAATATCAAACTTAGCTACTTTTACTATAGAGTCCAAACTGTAGTGGTTTCATCGGCGAAGTACTCTGGTCGCAATTTCGTGCATTTGATTGAAGAAAATTGTTGATGCCGTGGCGTGCCGATGTAACACGTTACGTGTTCGACCGAGTTTGTTTACTGGCCGGGCGCAGGTCATTGACCTTCGGCTTGCGTTGTTCCGGCGGCTGAGTGGACTCGAAGAGCAAAATGTCTGGCAGTTTTAGCGTCCGATTTTTGTTTGTATATCATTGAAAATAACGCTAATTTCCACCACTACATAACGAAATTCTTGTGAATAAATGTATAACTCAAAAAGTCTTTTGGGGAAATAAATATTCTTATCCGGATTTTTGGTGTATTTGGTGTTCTTTATTCATG